GCTTTTCGTTGAAAGGATTTTCTTTACAACAATTTTCTTTTGCTGAACAAAAATTTCTTTAAAAGAATTTTGACTTATAGCTAAAATCAAAAACAAAGAAGAAATGCCAATTATAATTTTCCTTTGAAAATATATTTTGCATTTTATTAGAATTTAATGAAACTTTAAAAAATGCTTTTAATTATATTTGTAATTGAAATTGCTATCACATAGTTAAAAACATCAATGAAATGAACTAAACATATGAGGGAGAAAAATGAATTAAACTATTTTTTAATTACTTAATTGAATTGAAATGGAAAATTAATAGTGTTTGTTTCTTACAAACTTTTCAAGCAATAAAATAAATCATTTCAGGTTTTCCACTATCGCTAATTCTTGCAAATGAATTATTCTTCATTACAGCACTGATATCAAATGATATGATAATTATAGGAATAGGAATATTATGATAAAAACAAAGTCTAATTAATTACAAAAAATTACTAATTGGGAATACTTACGAAAATTATTTTGATTGTAAACAATTAAGAATGCTTGTAAAATTTTACTATCATTTTCTCTTTTTCTAATTTTTCCTTATAAATTGATGACAGTTTTGATAAAATAAACTATGAAAATATTTTTCTGAAATATAATCATAATGTTAATTAATTTTTTTGAAACTATTTGATTAGATAACTGAAAATGCATTAATAATGTTAGCAAATATATGTTTAAATAAATTTAGCATTTTCAATTTAATTTAATAATTATTTGATATAATAGCATTATTATCATTATTGTTATTATTTATTATTTATTTATTATTGTTATTACTATTACTATTATTACTATTAAAAATTTAATTGTCTTAAAATATATTAATTATAACTAATATATTATAACCAATATATTGATTATAATTAATATATTATACTAATTGCAACTAATATATAGTTTATAAGTAATGTATTAAAGATATATTGATTATTATTGTTTATTTACTAGATGTTGCAGAATGATAAAATGTTGTTTTGCTATTTAACATAATCACATGGGAGTTATTGATAATGGCTTGCCTTAATGGCCTTGCCCTTTGCATATTATATATTATCGAGTAAATAGTATTAGTAATAATTTATTGTTTAAAATTATTTTGGAAATCTCGTTTTAAAAATGATTTCATTTTTTATCATTTGTTTATTCATTGACATAACAATAAATTAATAGTTATAATATTAGTTAACATTATTTATATGATAGTTATTGTTATTATTTATATGACAGCTATTGTTATTATTAAATTTTAAATTTGAAATTCAAAATAAAATTTAATAATAACAATTATCGTTGGACAAAATTTTTAAGAATAAATATGTATCAGAAAAAAAGGGAAAATTTGATTGATTCATAATTTTATGTAACATAAAAATGTAAACAACTGTGTAAACAATAAACAAATATTTAATGCAAATGAATTGTAATTCAAATAGTAATTCAAATAGTAAGTAAATGAGTAATTAAGTAAATATGTAAACAATGCGTAAAACAAATTGTATACAATTATAGTGTAATTCAAACAGTAATTGAAATAAGTAAATAAGTGATTAAGTAAATATGTAAATAATGCAATTATAACCTATAATGAAATAGAAATTCAAATAATTCAAATATATTTATTATTCATTAAAATAAGAAAGTATAAATATTAAACTGAAATAATTCTAAAAAATTTGCCAAAACATTTTTTCTTAACATTTAAATGTTTAAAATTAATAGTAATGATAATGAAATAAATTTATGAAATTTATGCAAATTATTATTTTTAAACCGGAATAGCTTAAATTCATTTTTAACCGGAATGGCTTAAATTCGTTTTTAGACCGGAATGATTTAAATTTGTTTTGAAACCGGATTGTCATAAATTTATTTTTAAACCGGAATAGCTTAAATTCATTTTTAACCGGAATGGCTTAAATTCGTTTTTAGACCGGAATGATTTAAATTTGTTTTAAAACCGGATTGTCATAAATTTATTTTTAAACCGGAATGATTTAAATTTATTCTGAGACCTGAATGGTTTATTTTTAAACCGGAATGATTTAAGTTTATTTTGAGACCGGAATGGCTTAAATTTACTTTTAAACCGGAATGGCTTAAAAACATGACAAGAAAAATGATAGGTTTTTTTTTTGTTTGTTTACAATTATCACTGATTGCATATCAATGAAAATATTCGGTAAGGAAACAATTATTTCTTACGCATCGATTTCTATCTATCCGAAAGTGTCATTTCGGAAAGCATTTTTTAATTTATAGCTTTTGTTTTATTGAATTTTCTAAGCGAAATTAATGACTTGCGATATTACTAAAAATACTTTGTCCTTTGTCCTTTTCTTTTTGTGTAAATTTTTGAATTTAAATTTTTTTAAAATTCAAATCTTTCCTTCTCTTTATGTTAAATGCCTTAATTTAAATTTCCTTAAGATAAACAATGATTATTTTATAATATTTCTAAATAAAATTTTACATGTGATAGATAATGCTTTCGTTTACACATCGTAATATAACAACGTATATCGTAGTATATCAACGATTTCAAACGAAAGGGAAAATCGAAATTGCACTAAAAGAAAAATGAAAATATCAAAATCTATTCGTCGAATTCAACGATAACGAAATTTTTAACTATTTTGAAAAAAAACGAACAACACTTTGAAAAATTTGTAAAATTTTTTACACAATTTAACTTTCGAATTTTGTTAAAGAAAATAATAAAATTTCAAAAATTTGAAATATTAAATAAATTTGTATAATTTGAAATTAAATGTAATAATAATAGTAAGATTATATATGTAGAAATAATGATTTTCTGATTATATATGTAGAAATAATGATTTTGTGATTATATATGTAGAAATAATGATTTTGTGATAACAAAACAGTATATTTAGCATTTAACATTCTTATCAGAATTAATCTAACAATTCTTATAGCGATATTTTCTTAAATTTTTATAATCTGATTTTGGTTCTGTGATAATGATTTTATGACTTCGTAAATTTTGAAATAATGATTTTGATTTTGAAATAATGATTTTGTGATAGCAAACGGCATATTTATCATTTAATATATTGTTATCAGAATTTAGCTAACTATTCTTATGGTGACATTTTTTTAGAATCATTTCGATCGATCATATTTTTAGCATTTTATCCAGAATTTGAATAGGAATCGGATAATTGAATGCGGAAGATGAATCAAATGCATTTATGTTGACAAACCTTTAATTCGTTTATTTAACAATCATTTGTTAAATTTCCCGGAAATTTGCAATAACATATCTTCTGTTTTTATCATGTAGAAATTTTCTAAACATTATCACAAAGTAAACACATCGTTTTTAGACAAATAACCTCAAAGTGTCAAGTAGTAATAGATCGCGGTTTAAATTTCTGAAGCTCAATCCATGAATGATTATAACCATCATTTTTGGATATCAAATTTTTGTGATAATATGGAATTCTAACAAGCCGAAACACAAGTGTTAAGGCCTTGTTGTTAAAGCCACAATTAAATTGTGCAATTTGAGCAGTAAAAGGAATGAACCGTTTGTTTATTCCGAAATCGTTATGATTTCGAATATTTTTATTCAACGAAATGAGTAACGCAACGTTCATTACTAAATTCCTGAAAATAATTGCTTCTAATAAGCCGTATATCGATGTTCTCGATGAATTCCTATAAAATCTCAATGCACTGATCATATATTTATGCTTAGTTTTATTAATTTCACTTTCGGTTTAATTCATTAAATATTTTCTTCAATATAAAAGTCTTTGAAATGGATATAATAATGAAGAAATAAATGGTAGATTAGAAGTGGTCGTTTGAACTATTCGAAATTAACAAAGACATAGTTATGCTCGAAATATCATTTCTTCATTAATGTCGTGTTACGCTGAAATCACGTGATAAAACGACATATTTGTTTTTATGGATGAGTTCATTCATTTTACGGACGTATTCATCCATAAAAACAAAAATGGATGAACTCATACATAAAAACAAAAATGTCGTTGAGCCAAAACATAATATACATATATGTTCCTATTCTTTTCCAATCTACTGAAATATCTGAATAAAGGTGAAAAAAACAAAAGCGCCAGGTCCATTTCATAGTCTCACATTTAGAAGTGACAGCCAACTTCCATTAAATGAAGCGCCGTCCATAAATGATAATCGAATTTTTCTTCGGTAGCAATAATTCTTACAATCTATTCTTTAATTTATTTCCTTTTAAATGATCGAAAAAAAATTCCTACCATTGATGATCGCCGAAAAGGGTATTGCGAAAATTAATTTTTCAACCGAACGATACGCAATATGAACTTGCGTTCAGAAGTCGTGTTAATGTATTAATAAAGGCGTGGTTGTAATTGGAATATCATTCGGTGGTTGTACTCGGAATACTATTTTTCCATTAATATTGCATCACGTTGAAACCACGTGATAAATGTATTAACTTTACACTGACCCGTTTAATTCAAATTACACTCACTGCATTTGTTTTTGCTAATGAATTTAATTGTTGCTGTTAATTGATTAAATTAATAGAATAAATAATTTTGAATTATACCATTATTAATTTTTAAATACATTATGCCTACAAATTGACCATTTTTCTTTACTGCAATTTTTGTACATTTATTAAAGGTACACTTTGAATGAGTAATTGAAAGATGTGAATATTGGAAATATGACGCGAAATACATTAGAAACTTTTATCCAATTAATGATAATTAACGTAATAGGAAAAGATGAAAATTATTAATTACAAATGCATAATTAAGGCACTATTATGGCATTATGAATTAAAATTTGAATACCGATAGCATGAAAATAACATAAAAATTTTCGAATAATTAAAAACTAGTATTTGATAAGTTTCACCAAATATTATATGTCTAAATTTTAACCACAGAAAATATGATTTCATAAAATGACCTTTGCTCTTACTACCACCAATCATCATCAATTCTAAAACGTCTACGCCAAAATCGTCTAATAACTAATGGACGCCGGCGTAGAAAACGATTATATCCGAAATTTCTTCCATATCCTCCAGCATGAAACCAACTAAATGGATCAATCGACAAAGCATGCATTTGCCGTTTCTCTCTGTAAAATTAACTATGCATAAAAATCTGCAAATTGATGATTAGTTTTGTTAACTGATAATGAAAAAAGATAAGGTATCAATTAAGTGAAATCATTTGGATTGGAACCAATGAAATATAAATTTAAATTTAATTAAATAGTAGTGTAAATTTAAATCGATCATTAAAAACGAATGTTTTTAAATGGCATCTCTCTCTCTCTCTCTTTCCCTTCTTCTCTTTCTTCTAATCTTTCTGACACCAATTCCTTTCATTGTCTAAAGAATGATCACTCAAAGAATTAAGCGAAAGTATTCACCGGTCAATTTCACTTGTCCGAATTTCTGTCATATTGACTTCTAAGCAAATCAGCAAATTCAATGCGACCAATAGATGGACAGTCCATTTGTTGCATTTAACCATCTAAGATATAGCAAATAGTAAATACTATAATTATCAATGATATTCACTTCCCTCTTTTTCATCAGAATTATATGGGATTTATTACAAAGTATTCTTATCGGGGATTTATCTAATTTAAATTAAAATTACAGCATGAAATAGAAAAATGATAATTAGTAAAATTAAAAGGGCATTATCATTTATCAGTATATTATTCTATCTAATTTGCTATCACATTTTGCTAATATAACGATCAAATAAAGCAAAGTTCATAATGAAATAATTGCTATTTGACCTTTTTATCAGTGCCTTATTTCATCACTTTTATAGTGATAAAGGTGAACTAACAGAAAAATAATTATACCTATTAATTAATAAGTAAACATAAATGATTAAAGATGTGAAAAAAAAAGAATTTACCTTTTCTAATATTTCGTTTTAAATCAAACAGACAAAGATTAATTAAATTGCAACTATTTGCTTTATGTTTATTTGAATGAAAGCTATTGGAATTATTTATAACATTTAGTAAATAGCTTGTTGTTTAATAAATTTTCAAATTTTTGCAATTCAATCGTTGAAGCTTAATACATAGTGAAATAAAATAAATCAGGTTTCGATGTTCGTTACTTATCTATCAAAACATGTTTTCATCAGTTATGTCCTGATAATATACTGATAAAAACACAAATGATTTTGTAATATTTCAAATCATTTAGCTACTATTTCAACAACTTTCAAATGTTATCACTTTTAGAAGGATATTATCCATAGGTGATTTTTCGGATTAATTTTATTACATCAATGATACTTTGTGTTGTAAGTGAAAATTGTAGAAATACGCTAAGCTTTATTTCATATTTTAAAAATTGAAAAATATTCATCGTTGCATAAAATATTTGGAAAGTTTCCATACAAAATAATCGCTTCATTTTATACATTTTATTGCAATATCTGTGCAATAATAATTTTACATCATTTCGAATTGCAATTTTCAACAAATGAATCAAATGATATCCATCAACCAAAAAACCATGGACCACCAAAACCGCCATTAAATCCCCAACGCCTCCTCAAAAATCGCCTTCTCATAAAACGAGGCCCAAATGATTGCCATGGCATTCCCCAGCCATAACCATAATCATAAGGACCATAGCCATAATTATATGGGCCATAGCCATACCAACCACTTTGACCTCCGCCCCAGGCTAGATTGAAATATGGTCCAACAGATAGGCTAGCAAAGTTGCCAAAAAATTGTCGCTTTTCTCGTTTTCTAGAAAAATGCATAAATTTTCAAACACAATAATATATTGCTTAATTTTACCTCTATTAATATTTGAAAAAATCAAAGATTTATATTTCACATTTGAAAATTTAAATTATCACCTTGCTGTGATATCATTCGATATCTTACGACAGGATACCATCATTAGATTTATGCAAATTATAATGATAATAGGAGTATGTGATAATTTGTATGTTGACATCTGAAAATTTTCTCCCATAATAATTTGAATTTTCAGTGGCGAAAGAAAATTGTCATCGCTCATTCGTTATGATTATTTAGGCTTTTTAATTTTTCAGATTAACCATTCGGTACAACTTTGATTTCATAGTGAGTGGGTTTAAATCATTTTTAAATAACCTAAGTAATAATAATGATAAAACAATAATTTAATTAATTTGACATTAAAGATTGCATAAATAATAAATTAGTAGGAAATTTGATTTTTTTAACAAAAGTAGTAAAATTCTGCAACGTTTTACAACACTGTTGCATTTTAAGTTTTTTGTTTCATCGAAATTTATTCATTTATCTCAATCACAACAAAAAGATTGAGAAACAAATAAGTTAGCATTAAATAAATGATTTTGTTAATAATAATTAATAATAATTAAAGATAATAATTAACATGCAATAATAATAATTAAAGAACAAATAGTAATAATAATTAAAGGGTGTAATAATAATTGAAGAACAAATAATATGGAAATTTTTTTTATCCTAAATTTATATTGATTTCACATCCTAAAATTCGCACCAATAATGAACAATAAAATATGGAAATATCTTTTACCATAAAATTCGTACCAATTTTTGTTTTTGTAATAATAACTGAGGAAGCAATTATTTGCTATAATAAATAATAAAATATGAGGATTTTTTACTATCCTAAAATTCATAATAGATTTCACAGGTTAGGACATTTTAAAATGAACCACTCCGGCAAAATGGAATTATAATAGTGGAATAGGTTGTTGTAGAAATATTTTCGGAATTATTAATATTTATAAAATGACGTAATTTTTAATTAAACAAATAGATAATCGTTATTTTGTTTACAACTAATTAGAACTTGTTTGAATTTTTGTCATGCACATATTTTCTTTTATAATTTCTTTGAGAATCAGTGATCAATTAATTCCACGCCAATTTTACAAACAAGTTTGAAAATAAAGTTTAAAGCAGTTAGAATTAAAAAGAAGAAGGAATAAGATTAGGTAAGACATTTCAGGAAAATGTAATATATTCGTACAAAAATAAAATAAACAAACATATCGATCCAAAGGCCTGAATTAGTTATGAGAATCTTTTATTTACTAATAAAAAATTTAAATAATTAGAGGTGCTAAAAACATTAATGTAATACTTTTATTTATTTGCAATTTGATTAAACTTCTGTTTTCAGTAATATTAACATTTCATGCTATCACTGTTTTCTTCTTCCTCAAATGATACGCACTGATAAGATAAGTACAATTCCATTCATAAGATACATATATGTTATGTTAATTTTATTATATTGATAAAAGTTGTATGCTTTTATTTATTTACAATTTGATTAAACTTTTGTTCTCAGTGATATTAGCATTTCATGCTATCATTGTTTTCTTCTTTCTCGAATGATACGCACTGATAAGATAAATTGGTAAGATAAGCTCATTCCATTCATATGATATATATGTATTATGTTAATTTTATTATAAAGATAGAAATTGTAGTTATGCAAATAATCAATATTATAATTCTCAACTACTTTTAGCATTTTTTAAATGCTTAGTTGCTATATTGGCGCATTTGTCAAAATGATTTGCCATTATATTCATTAATTCTTGTACCGCTTCCGCTGTTTTTTTATAATGTGTTGCAAATTGTTGAATATTTTGTCGAACTTTCAACAATTGTTCATCATAACATGCATTAGCTTCTTTACTTTTTTGTTGTTTACTTTCATCATCGGGATGTCTTAAATTAATTTTTGTTATAAATTAAATTTATAATTTTGTAATATGAAATTATCGATTAATGAATTATCAATTTAATGTTAATATTAAATACATATATGAAATTATCTATTAATGAATTAGCAATTTAATGTTAATATTAAATACATATATGAAATTATCGATTAATGAATTAGCAATTTAATGTGAATATTAAATATTTGTTTTATATTAATAAACTAAATCTTTCTTCCTTTTAAATTTACAATGTGATAAACGAAAGAAATATAAAATTTACTTAACAGCTGCTTGAGATAAGCCATCTTTATCGAGACGTCGCTTTTTTAATTTACTGATATCTTCGAGATAATTTTTTAAATTTTCTTTAAGCCATATTTTTGTCCATGAATCAAGAAATTCTGCTTCTACCTCAAATATTTAAAAATTAAATCATGGCAAAAATGTTAGCTAATTTTATTTTCTTCCTTATCATAGACTAATTTATTCGCATATTATCAAATGCTTTTTATCTTTTCAAATTTTAAATGTAAAAATATTTGGTAGAGAATATTTGGCCTCGATGATTTAGCAAGCTTTAGCTAGTACCACATTTAGCTAATTATTATTAAATCATTTATTTTCAAAATCAAAATTTCTTATATCATCTACCTGTTTAGCCGTTAAACGTTCCGTTTTTGCAATTTCTTCCAATGCTTCNATGATTTAGCAAGCTTTAGCTAGTACCACATTTAGCTAATTATTATTAAATCATTTATTTTCAAAATCAAAATTTCTTATATCATCTACCTGTTTAGCCGTTAAACGTTCCGTTTTTGCAATTTCTTCCAATGCTTCTTCAACACTTTTCATCACTTCATTGAACTGTAATAATTAAATGTAATTTAAGTAATTAAGAAAACAAAGCGAACAATTTAATAATTGATGTTTAATGCTGATTTTATAGTGTTATTAATTCTACAGTAATTAAATGAAATTTTCATTACTTTTTTATCATTTGTTTTAGCTGCCAAACCAGCGCATGTATTAGCTATTGAATCAGCAGGAGTCATACCGATAGCTTTGAAATTTGAAATCATCGATTCAACAGCTTTAGCGATTGCTGCCACATCCGATTTACTCTGTTCACAGAAAGTAATCGAACGGGTAACATCATTTGGAAATCTTAAATAATATTTTGCTTTTATTTGAATTTGGCACAATTGATAAGAGCCTTATGTATACATATAAATACTTCGTTATCACCTTAATTCTTTCAATGTTATATTGATTTGATAACAATGATAATTAGTTCTGATAAAGTTAAATGAAAGAAAGAATGAAATTTTGGTTAATAATTTATTAAAAGTTAATATCTTCAAAATTTGAAGATTGACAAATAGATCGTAAAGAATGATTAAAAGCTTTTTAACTATTTCAATTAATATATTTTAAATTTATTTACTGATTATTTTTATCAATCAAGTAGAACAAAATTGATTAGCAAATTTTGAATGCTTTATGATAACGTATTATTTAGCTATTTTAAGTAACACTTATGAGTGTATTAGATTAGTATGATCAAGTATTTACTTAGAATTTAATATTTACTTTGTTAGTATTTACTTACTAACAATCCGAACTTTGAATTATGCCGATCAATTCATTTTTGATAATAAATTTAATTGGGATTATTCTACTTGGGAGGATTTCAAAGAGTAAACGAACTCTGTTTGTTTTGCCATATCCAACTTTACCATCACATTTTGCTTTAATCGTCGAAACATTTTTAATGCTGAAATATCCAATTGGGGAAGAATTCAACGTTGTAGTAGAAAAAACAATGTTAAAAATAAACATAATTCCAAAGAATTTTTAATTTATATGTATTTAAATAAATATATTTGCATAATTTGATTACAAATTTAAGAATTTACAAAATTTCCATTCAAATCAAAATTTTCCTATTTAAGTTTATTATATTATCTTCTACAACATTTAAAAATAAACATACAGTAGTGATAAATTGCAAAAATGATCGTACCATTAGCATACAATATTATATTGTCTTCTACAAAAATAAATCTGGAATAATAAAGTACGGTGATAAACGTATAAAAATGAACGCACAATAAACTTACGGTATTATACTATCTTCTACAAAAATGAACGTACAATAAACTTACAGTATTATACTATCTTCGACAAAAATAAACGTACAGTGATAATAATATTCGAAAGGATATAATATGAACCGTTTTGATTTGTGGAAGAAATTAAAATTTCTAGCAGTTTACTTTATGATCATAAGAGCAGGAAATATAAAGATAATTTTCAATAAAATAAGTGTGTTTTATTTTAAAAAGCAAACCATTAAGCTATTAGACATTTGTTTACAGTTCAAAATCATTTGAAGCTATCGAAGTTGTTAATAGCAATCTTCATAAGAAATCAAACTAAAAGAAAATTTTATTTAAAATCTGTTTCTGAATTAAGAAACAGAAAGTTTGCTGTTACAGAGAAGAATTTAATTTGATGAAACTACAATTTGTGTAGAATAAATTATGTAATTATAATTAGTAAGGGGTAGATTGCTTCTACAGTTGAGATAGGTTAAATGTTGTTGTTGTTTACACATCCATATTATCATGCTTTTGTTAATACTTCATAACTATCATATATTATTTCAAATAAAACACCAGGATTAGCTTAAAGTTTATTCTGACAGCTTATAGTGAAAATTAAAGCGCTGTAATAAGAGTAGTATTATATTAAAAGAATTCATTGAATCTATCAATACAAAAACTCAAAAAAAGGTCTATCAGTTTGTATATGATTGATTACCTGTCTTTATATTTTTCTCATAAGGATAACTGTGGTACTCTCCAATTTGCAAAATTAACAATTGATAATAAAAGTTTGTTTATTCAGAAAAATTTTGTGCTATAGCATATCGATCAAAAAATCTTGAATTTGTCATCAAATTTGAATTTCGAATAATTTCAATTTTTTGTCTTTTTCTCTTAAGATTTATATTGAATTTATGCTATCTATTATTTATGCTATTTCACCATTTATGTTATGATTTATGCTACTTTGGATTTATGTTATTTGTTATTATTATTCCACTGATCGATTTTATAATATATTTGCTGGACAATGGTCAATGTGGTGGTCAATGCTACTTTAACACTATGCTTTTCCGATTTTCGCATATTTTTTTGGAGATATTCTTTTTTTTTTCGCAGATTCGTACCAATAAAACTTTTATTATGCGATCGAATTCTATTTCAAAGATGCATTGCAATTTTCAAAAAGTTTACGATTACCTGTTTATTAGCAAAATGAATTATGGAAATAGCAAAATGAATTCACCTTGTGGAATAATTTTTAGTTCAGTCATTAAAAATTGAAGGTTTTCTATTTTACTGGAATTTTATGCAATAAAACTGAATTTTAATTTCACAGATTTATACGCTTAAAAATTAAGAAAACATGATCCGCATACAACTAATAGCTATTGTTTACCGTACCATAAATAAATTTTTCATCAATAACTAATTGTGAGGTGCAGAATGTTTGTTTCATTTAAAAAGCAACTGCTTTAATTGATGAAGAGAAGGAATTAGGCGCATATGTTCGATGTGTGACAGATGCCCAGTAGACGATATCTGAAGTTGCACAATACTTTTATCAAAATTTTTCATATTTGCGTCATATGTGAAAAATGGAAAGCAAAATAATTCATTTTCGCTATCAAAAAAATGATGAAAAAAAATTATCATTTACTAATATTAAGCTGAAATTTTAAAATTACCATAAACTAAAATTAAATTATTCTAAAACTAAAACAACGTCAATAATATCATATTCTAACTTCAATTTTAATTTCATTTCACAAAGACAATACGAAATTATCTTTTTGCAAAAAAAAAAATTAAAAAATTTCAAACGAGAAGTTTTACATTGCTGCAAAATGAACTCATCCAATTTGAAATTTGAATATTAAAAATAAACAAATTATTCATACTAATGTCAAAGTTCATTTTATCAATTCGACAAAAAAAAAAAAAACGAATTATGTGAAATTCGAGTAAAATCGACTGAATTTACACACATTGGGTTCTCGTAGTGATAAGCACCACGGGCGACGACCAATCATATAACCCCTATCCATCCTGAAATATAAAAAAAGCTTGAAATTTTAGAAATTTTATCAATTGAATAGGAATTTCAAAAAATGTTTTCATACTGATTAAGAGTGATGACATTCATTTTTATCATTCTTAGATTTATCAATTAATTTTCAAATTTTATCAAAGTGATGAAATTTAATAGTAATCAAGTTGGTTTGTAACATAAAATCAATGAGGAATTTATTGTTGCACTTTATTAACAACGAGATTTAAAAAAGAAATTCTTATTCAAATTGATAATCAAATTTTCATAGTTTTAATTTCTGAACTAATCAATCTTTCTTTTTCACTCTTTTACTATCTTATATTTTTTATTAATTTTAAAATTTGCGATATAAAGTTCGGGATCAATTAGAGAAATTTCGAATAAATCAATATATTACATTTCAGAATCATTATCGTCGAATTCCTCCTCGGGATTTTCCTGAGAGTTATTTTCGCCTTTCTGTTTGAAGTCAAAAAATAATTGCGGAATGATATCATTTTTTTCAGCTTTCTTATGACAAATTCGGCACTTTTGATTACTCTGCAAATTTTGAAGTAAATTTTAATTAATTTGAAATTATTTGCTAAAATGTTAATTTAGAAGATTAACTTATTTGTAATTAGAAGATTGTAATTAGAAGAACTTATTTGTATTTAGAAGATTAACATAAAGTAAATCTTATCATTATGAAAAGGAAGCAATTCATTTGTTAAATTGTATTATATTATAATTCTCTCATAAAAGTTTTTCTCAATTAAAAATTTCATAGATTAAATGTTCATTGATACGAATTGGAATTAAGTCAAATTAACACGTCGATTTTTATCCAACTTAATTAGTAACATGAAAATATCGTTGCTTAAAATTAAGGAAACAAAAGAATAAAATGATAATATCTTGTGATAACAAATGATAGGAATGATAATTCGTCGATTTTTGAAAGCATATCTTCTTTTCAATCATATTATTTGAAGCGAATTTATAATTTTCTATCTTGATCCAAGTCTTCCCTTTTTTTAATTGGATCGGTTTAATTATTCAATTTAAATTTACTTATTCGTTTGTTAACTCACTTCAACGTGACGTGAAATACACGGAAGATGAAAGATATGACCGCAACGTAATGCGGCAACACTTTTTAAATCGAGTTGCTTCAAACAAACATTGCATTGTATTTCTGTTGTTTTATTGTTCTTCAACAATTGCAAATTGGCATACTGAAAATGTAAACTTTGAAATTATCGAAGGAAATGAAATAATTTTCATCGTTGTCATTCAATATCTTTAAATCATCAAAATGCTTTTAAAATGTTAATATTACTGAATTTGATGAGTAAACTTATTAATCGGTTAAGGCAGCTATAATCGAATACTCTTATAGTTCATATCTCTAATTAACAAATTAATCAGAGTCTATATTTTTTATTATTTAAGTTCACTATAGCTTCCGTCAAATAATTACAAATGGTTCGGGAGATCTTAAAGACTTAAATATTGATTACCAATTTTTACAGGATATTTAATCAAACTGTTATGTAATTATTCTTAATTATCTGAAATGTAATTAATATGAAAAAATTCAAATTAATGATAGAAATTTAAGAGTAAAGTAAAAAAGGGATAAAAAAGGTGAAATAAAATTCAGGATATTTCCAGGATATTTAATAAAGCTATTATTTCCTATAATTTATATTTCATATTTCTTGCTCCCCTTTTTAATACTAAAATGGATTATTTAAACAAAGAGAAAAATCACTTGGAATGGTTTCAATTCCCTGTAACAATTCTTATCGACCCTTCGTATAAATTTCAGTATTAACTTTATTAAATCTTTTCTTTGCACGTTTTCCCGACATATTGGGCATTGCATTCGAATCTGAAATTTAAAACAAATTATCAAATAAATTTGGAACAAAAATAAGTTATTGATGAATAGAAATTGTTTAACTCAACTATTAAATGAATAGTTTAATTACTGAATAAATTAAACGGAATGAATATATCGTTCCGCACTTCCTGAATGAATTAAACGGAACAAATATATCGTTTCGTATTTCCTGAATGACTTAAACGGAATGAATATATCGTTCCGTATTTCCTGAATGAATTAAACGGAATGATTATATCGTTCCGTATTTTCTAAATGAATTAAACGGAACGAATATATCGTTTCGCATTTCCTGAATGACTTGAACGGAATGAATATATCGTTCCGTATTTCCTGAATGAATTAAACGGAATGATTATATCGTTCCGTATTTTCTAAATGAATTAAACGGAATAAATATATCGTTCCGTATTTCCTGAATGAATTAAACGGAATGATTATATCGTTCCGTATTTTCTAAATGAATTAAACGGAACGAATATATCGTTCCGTATTTCCTGAATGAATTAAACGGAATGATTATATCGTTTCGTATTTCCTGAATGAATTTTTCATTTAGCTTAATTTAATATAATTATTGTGAAGTAATGTGAAGATAAGGATAATATCCGAGAGTAAACTGCGAATGATTGAAAGAAATACTGAAAACATGAAATATTTAAAATTGAAAGGAATAGTTGAAAATATATGCAAATGATTTTAACCATACTTTTAGCCATTCTCGTGCACAACGAAAATGAAATGTGTGACCACAAAATAGCGCCCAAAGTTTATCAAAAGATATCGGTGAAAAACATATGGTGCATTGAGGTCTCGAGTGCATCCTTCGTTATTTTATATCAGATATTTTATTTCCAATTGAAAATGCAACTGTCTTAAATATTTCAAATCATTTATGTGCAAAAACTTCACTGTGAAAAATAAACTTTGAAATTAATACTACTTTTAGGATGAGTATTAAATCGTAAATAGAATATAAAGAAAATAGAAATTAACTTATTTTTATGAAATTTGGTTGCCGGAGAGATAATTTGAAAAAGGTAAAAAATTTAGTTGTCGAAAAGAGTACCAATATAAGCTAACAGATAGAATGGATTGTCTTTTAAGAAAATTCGATTTCCGATTAAGAGATAAGTTGAAATTCTTGTGCAGCAAATTCGATATGAATTCCTGTTGGTAAATATTTCATAAGATATTTTAATCGATAAATTATCGTGTTTTTCATCTGTTATAATCAAATAAAAAATAATATAAAATTAAATATGCTAACTCTGATTAAACTATAAAATAATAAATTTTTCAAATAAAAGGGAAACAAAAAATTGCCACCAATTTCAAGTATGATCTTGCCGTTCGATGGGAGCACAATTTTTAACAATGACGAGCTATAATGAAGTTGACCTCAGCGGTATCCATCAGTAGAATTAGTCAATAATACAATAAGGTCAACAACAATTTCAAATATATATAAGGTCAACAGCAATTTCATGTATACATAAGTTAACGTTATGCCATCATCATAATGCAATACTATACGTTGCATTTAATTGATTATTGTTATTGCTATCTAAAAAAAGAAACATTTCATCAAAATGAATGATATCGGCGATATTCCATAAATTATTTCATATTTGTTTTAAATCGAATTAACACATAGCCACCTACTAATTATACTATTTCTGTAATTATAATCAAAAATATAATTCATTGTTTCTCATATTCTACCTGTTTTTTTATTTAATAAGCAAAGGATTAAGAGCAAATTAAATAAATTTTATTTTCACTTTAAGATTGTCATTAAATAACTTTAGCGTTAAAATTATTTAGAAGTCAGTGTATTATTTCTGCGACAGGTAAGAAGTATATTTAATGAAGACAATTCAAATCTTGAAGTGAAAATTGCTTTCAATTTTTATCCTTCAAATGAGTATATTGAGATAATTTGACTAGCAATTTATGAGCTGACAAATTTTTTGTTGAATTCAAATTTTTACATTTAAAATTTTCATGCTATCTCTTACGATATTTAAAATACAATTTTTCTTCATACTTATAATCGGTTATTTTTTTTGATGGATAATCTAATTAGACATTGAAATAAACAAAAAGAAAATTACAATTGATAATGTGTTATTAAAATGCTAATGGAATTTAGTGATATTTACTATTAGAAATGATTTTGAAGGCTATTTAAATGAGAATTTTCAAAATGGTACTTTATTTAATAAACAATGAATCAGCGCGATGTTTCATTTGCTAAAGGAAATCATTTCATTTGTGACAGTTTATTAGAAATATGGAAGCTACAAAGTTTTATTTTACTTTTTTCAAATTAAACTTAAAATATCATGCTAAATTAAAATACAAAATAAAATTATATAAAATATAAAATTAAAATATAATAAAATATATTAAACTTAAAATAAAAACATTCAAGAAGAATCTTCCAATATTTGAACATTTTATATTTTATCATTTTTTAATTATATATTTTAATTTTATATTTTATATTTTATTTATTTTATATTTTATATTTTAATATAAAGAAAAAATTTATTTAATATAAAGAAAAAATATATAAAAAAAATTTAAATTATTTCAAAAAAACAAAAAGTAAACTTTGCTAAATTCAACAATATATAGTTTATCCATTACAGCTACCTGAAATAACAGGACTTAACAGCTAATAAGTGATGGATTATATAAAAAGCAAAGATTAACTAAAACTTATAGATTGAAATTTAATAATTTGAAATTTTGTATAAATTATATCAGAGATTATCTTAGAATAATTCCTCGTATAAAAGAATTAATTCATTCTAAAATGCGAGGAATTCATTTCAATCGATTAAAAATAAATTTTACATCAAATAAAATTACAGCGATGATGATGCGATCGATCACTATATTTGTTATACCTTGCAACGAATGTTTTAAATCTGATAATTGAAATAGAAAGTGGGACAATAATAACGAAAAAAAACTGTCAGATACCGGATCTGATGTAAAATGATATCGAATTAATGCGAAATTTTCTCGTCAGTCACTTACTAATCAGTGTTCAGTTAAGGTAATATTGATATGATCAAAGTGATATCGAATGAATGATCAGAAAAATTCATATAGATCTGGTGATAAAATTATTGCATTATGCGAAATTTCTCATATCAATGAATTTTAGTTCAGAAAGTCGAAATGGCTTTACTAACATAAATTTGTTGAAATAATTATTTTGGTGTTGTCGAAATCTGTATTACAATGATTATTTTTCAATAATTATAAATAACATAAAGTGACCAACAATTAATTATAAAATGATCAATTAATTATAAAATTAAGTGTTAAGTTAGTACAATTGTCAAATTACCGTAAACATTGTCATTTATTCAGTTGATTGTTTCGATTATAATTTATTAGTTTCCATTGTCAAATTATGGTAGAATGATTCCTTGTTTACTTAATTCTTTTTGATCTTTGATGCTAAATAGTACTATAAATATTGCGCTTCAAATTCCACACTTTGCCAGCGATACTTGTCAACAGATGCAATTTCATCGCTTGTACGATCAAATCGCTATCAATAGAATCTCAATTGATTTCCTTTCTAATTTTAAGCAAGAATAAGAATAATCTAATGATGGACCAGCTGTACGTGATATTTCTGAAACGTATGGGATTACGTTTCCCTTTGTTAATTATCAAAACAAAACTTTTATCTATGCTTATTATCAACAAAAATTTTGTAAAATAACTTGTTGTGGTCTAATTCTTAAAATTCCTTGAACCAGCGTACCTTTTACAGGTAAAAGTTTAGCATGGTCGAGTCTGTAAGATACTCTAAATAGTGCTTTGATAGCTGAGAAGTTATCATTCGGTAAATCCTTCAATTCTTTCATCCAACTTCTATCACACCAACAATTATCAAGCCTAACTTCATTTATTATACATTTTATTCAAATTTCAAATACTGAAGGTAAAAATTGATATTTTATGTATTGGAATGAAAATGGCATCATGTTCATATGAATAATTTACTGAGACATGAAGCAAGTTTAAAGAGTGGTAAAACAGCGACAAGAAATAACGTAAATCAATCCACGTATCTTTAATCTCATGTTTACGTACTGCAAAAGTATGTTAAATCATTTTACGTATCAGAAAAATAAAAAGCAATCAGAAATAGTATTCATAATTAGCACATTTCTATCATAGAACTTACGTAGAGTTAGATGATTCGAAATCTGACTTATTATATCGAATAACATTTCGTTGAAATGATAATGACATAGTTACTAAAAGGTGTAAAAACTTATCCAATCAGATGTCACAAAACTTATCAGATGTCACAAAAACAAACATTTCCTCAGACAACTTCAATTTCGCTGATAGATTTCAACGCTCCACTTTCACTCCATTCTCTTTTCTATAGGAAATAACTAGCAGTCAATGAAATAACGGAAATGAACATACTTATCACAGCATTAACATTTTATCATTATTATTAATTATTATTATCAGTTATAATCAATTATTATTATCATCAATAATTATTATCTTTAATTGTTGTTATCATTAATTACTATTATTATTAATTATTATTATTAACAAACATATTAAATACACTACTGTTAAAGACAGCCAAATAAATACAACATCAACGTTTCGAAATAAAAAGTTGCTGATAGAGGTAATAATACCTAATGATACGTTAATGATAACAGAAAAAATCGCAATGGAAATTTTGAACTTTTAAAAATCAGACTGACAATATTTTATCTTCAACAATTATATACTCACAACAATTATACCCATAGTACGATTAAACGCAGAATGGTTATATTCACGATATTTGTCTAAAAATATAGGAATAGATGTGGTCGTAGGAAAATGTTCCATTAAGTGTTAATTGTTAATTAGAGTAAAAGTGAAGTGTGAAAAGTGGAGAGGAAAGGATGAAAAGAAAGTGAAAGCTACATGCCGTAGTAATGAGAGTGAGATATTCTCACAGTGTCGTATAAGTTGTCAATTCCTTTCCCACTGTAAATGGGAGAATTGAGAGATTCATCGTATCCGTTTTATTCTTATCCTTTATCATTCCTAATAATTCAAATTTCATTTAACACAATTAAATTTTGATTTAAAACAATTAAATTTTCATTTGAGGGATATATTGTGCGTGGAATAACGACAATTAAAGCAAGCTTAATTTAAGAAGAAAGTGAATTTAGAATTTTTTAAATTCAACTAAATTGTGCCCATATCGCTCCAAAATTTCTGTTATTTCATTGACTGCAAGTTTATTGTCGTAGAAAAGAGAGTGGAGCGTTGAAATCTATCAGCGAAATTGAAGTTGTCTGAGAAAATGCTTGTTTTTATGATAAGTTTGTTGATGGGCTGTCAAATAAATCACCTTTAATTGAATTAACACTTAATGCTTCCTAGGAGCATATTCATTTCGGTATTTCAAATTTTATTTTATTTCACAGGTAACAAATGTTGTTGGTATATCACTCGAACTGTTAGATTGTAAGGATTAAGTTTGATATTTTTATGTGCCAAATATTTTGAAACAAATCTTTTGGAGTGATATTAGTTCTTATAATAATTAGAAAAATAGGAATTAAGTTTGATTTCAATCTAAAAAAAAATTGCCAAAAAATTATTCGAATACTATAAATTAATCATATTTGCGTACTATCTGATATTATGAAATTTTTAGCTTTAAGAAAATAAATTCAACAATGTGAGATACTAAATTCTACAAAGTGGAATATATGCATAAAATAATTCTTCTCTTTCTTACATTAGTCGTTGAAGTTATTA